ATTATAACTTCATCACAGAAAAAACAAGTGAGAGGGATAAGAGATTAATGATTGAAAATTAAAGAATTATTGGACAACCTGAAAGCTAAGCCATACAAAAGAGCCTAGATATAATATTTCAAGAAATCAAAAGAAAAAAAAAACTTTCTAGACCTCTTAGAACCAGAAATCAAAGAGGAAATGGAAGGAATCTATAGGTCAACCCAGAAAGGACCCAACAAAAGTAAAATCTCCCAGCAACATTACAGGCAAAATCCTGAGTGTACAGGTCAAAGAAAAAATATTTCCAGCAGCATGAAAAAGAAAGAATTCAAGTGCCAAAGAGCCACAGTCAGAAACACAGGATTTTCAGCCATTCCCCTAAAGGAGCTGAGAGCTTGAAATATGATATTCCAGAACACAAAGATATAACCTTACAAACAAAATAACTTAGCCAAGTAGGATAATCTCACAGGGGAAAACATAGTCTTTTATTCAAATGAAGGACTTCCAAATATTCCTGATGAAAAGCCTAGAGCTGTATAGAAACTTAAAAGTGTAAACACAGCATTCAATGAAAGGTGGCCCAAGCTTCCAGGTAGAAGCTTGTATAAATCCACTTCTCGGGCTTGAGTCTCATCAATGAGCCATTCCCAAGCATCATCATGCCAATTTACATACCTAAAGAGAGCAATAAGATGGAAGGTGGACCCCAACAGAGGGAGAGGAGTGGATCCTGCTGACCCCAAGGGCTTTCTCCTTGGTGGATGGGAGACCTCATCCTAAGGATAGACCCAGGGGCAATAGACAAGATCATTGGAGAGGTAAGAAGAGTTGTCTTGACTTTTATTGGCACAGCCAATCAAACACACATTTATTAAGTGCCTGCTGTGTAAGTGGCAAACACTGTAATCAAGTAGGAATCCTTTGTTCTTTGCATTTTTCACCAGATAAAAATAAAGGCTCTCGTATTTGTTATGTTACTAGCCTGATTGCTCATACACAAGCTGAAGGTCCTTTACCCTTTCTTTGTGGAGAATTAAAAGCCAAATTCTGATGTCCCCTGGGGAAACCATGGTTTGGTGGCAAAAGCTGCTGTGGGAGGCAGAATTGTATTCTGGAAAGAACTTTGGCTGCTATGGCATCAGAGGACCTGGGTTCCAATGCTGCCTCTGATGTGACCCTATACCTGTGTGACCCTGGGCAATAACTTAACCTTGTTGGGCCTCAGTTTCTTCTCACCTGGCTAGGAGGAGATCAGTGAGGTGACCAGAGTGCCTGGGACGATGTTTGTTCCCTTCCCCAATGCATGTCTCATAGCAACAATCACTTGCTTTCTCTTTTCTTATGCACATTATTTTGCAGTTGGCATGAATATTTCTCTTTCTCTGGCTCTGCCTGTCTCTGTCTGCATCTCTATGTCTGTCTTGGTTTTGTTGTTTGTCTCTCAATATATACAATACACACAGTGCCTGTGAGTACATATGTGTGTATTTGTGGGTACCTCCTGATATTTTTGGAGCCTCTGGTGATTTAGATCTGCTCCCAGCTGGCAGTCCAGGACAAAGCTGGGAAGAAGCCCTTCCCTCGTCCCGGCCTAGGGATCATAATGGAGGCCTGATGAAGAGGTAGCCTGGGTGCCAGCAACTCAGAATTCCAGATATCCTTGGCAACGCCAATCACCACGGTAACAAGTAATTGGAACTAGCTGCTTCTGCCTTGCTTGCCTCTAGATTGATTGTATTCAAGTGAAGGGGGGATGACTAACTTGATCTGAATTTCCACTGGAAAAGGTGTGACAACTCCCTTCCTACTCCCTGTTCGGTGAACAAGCCAGGGGCAAAATATCCTGGGGCCCAGGGATTGGGCTTTTTGGCACAGGGTCTTCAATGTCTGTTTTTGCTTTCACATTTACACTGATTAAATGATTCACTTCATCAATAATTTGCAGTGATTGAGCCAAACAAGCTAGCATCAGTCACTAATAGAATGGAAGGGGGTTAAGCTCTACTGAGCTTACATGAATTCATTTGTGTTACCTGGCAAGGGAAAATTCCTATTTCCTTTTATATCCAGTTATTACTAAAAATCACTGGGAGCAGGGCCTCACTCCAGGATTAGGTAGACTACATTTGGACCCTACACACCCCAGCTTCTTCCAGAAGTCAGATAGTGGGAGGAAGAGTTTGTTCTTAAGTAGCTTTGAAGGATCAAAGATCCTTGGCAACTATCAATAGACTTCACCTCAGTTCCTCTGCCTAATTCAGAAGATCACTAGCACAAACCACGTGGGCTTTGGCAAACACCCTTCCAGCAGCAACATTCAGCTTTCTGAAGAACCTTCCAGCTCTGTCTGTCTGTATGATGAGGACTCTTCTACTGTGGTCGGTCTGTATATAATCATTGGTACCCCTGGAGCAGTGACATTCTGGGATCCAAGGTTCCTTTCATCTCTGCCATTGTCCAGTGGCTTCCCATCATCTTTGGATCAAATAAAAAAATCCTCTTTTTGGCATTTAAAGTCATTGGTAACTTATTTCCCACTTACCTTTTCATTTATCTTACTCCTTACTCCCCACATTGCACACTTTGATCTAGTGATTCTCGTCTTCTTGCTGCTCCAGGAATAAAATACTCCATCTCTTGTCTCCAGGCATTGTTTTCCGTCTGTCCCTCACGTGTGGAGTGTTCTCCCTCCTTGTCTCCATCTCACCTCCCTTCTTTCTTTCAAGTCCCAGGTAAAATCCTACCATCTACAGGAAGCCTTTTCCAATCACTCTTAATTCTACTGACTTCCCTTTATTAATTATTTCCTACTTATCCTATATTTAGCTTATTGGTACTAAGTTATTTACATGCTCCATTCCCCATTAGATTGTGTGCTCCTTGAGGGCAGGAACTGTCTTAGCTTTTCTTTGTATCGTCAGGGCTTAGCAAAGTGCCTGGCATGTAGTAAGTACTTAATAAATCCTTCTTTACTGACTGACTGATGGTATGAGTCCTCTCTGAATTTATATTACATAATCTCAACTGGGTCCTCACTGCAGCCAGTCAGTAGTTTAACACCTCCCTAATCAATTTGTTCTTCCACTTACCAAAGCAGCCACTGGAAGATTCCCAAATCCCTATTAAAGGAGAAATAAAATAAATCATCCTGTGCAAGGACACAGTAAAGCCGATGGTTTCTTCCATTGCTGTAATAGCTATTGGTTGTCCTTGGAGAAATGACCCTGCACTTTTGTGTAAATAGACTTCCTTCCCAAGTATAAAAGTATTGATTCACTTCTTGTTGTCTCTTGCCCTTGAAGAGGGGGACTTTTTCTACAGTAAATCCTGCCAGCTGCATTCCAAATCCATCCCTTTTCTCCCTTGAATGATTCCTCCTGTCTTTCTCCCTCTCCTGTGACAAGCTTCATTTCCCTACCCTAAGTTGCTGAATAATGCTGCTGACTAGCTGTGTATTCTAAGTGGGTCTGAACCCAATCTGTTCCCTAGGAAGACAACACTGCTAGGACCACCACTAGCAGCAGCACCACCACTGTCAGGTGTCCCTCCCAAGAGATCCTGAAGAGTATCTCTGAAAGGCCTTATTTCTCAAAGATAAAGAGAACTGAGTCAAATTTATAAGAATACAAATCATTCCCCCATTGATAAATAAACAAAAACATAAATAGTTTTCAGACAACAGAATCAAAGCTTTCTATAGTTATAGGAAAAATGTTTTAAATCTCTATTGATTAGAGAAATGCAAACTAAAACAGCTCTGAGGTACCACCTCATACCTATCAGGTTGGCTAATATGACAGAAAATGAAAATGATAAGTGTTGGAGGGGATGTGGGAAACCTGGGATACCAATGCAGTATTGATGGAGTTGTGAACTCATCCAATTACTCTGGAGAGAAACTTGAAAGTATGATCAAAGGGCTATAAAACTATCCATACCCTTTCATCCAGCAATACAACTATTAGGTCTGTACCCCAAAGCAATCAATCAAAAAGGAAAAGGACCTATATGTACAAACATATTTATAGCAGCTCTTTTTGTGGTAGCTAAGAAGTGGAAATTTATACCCATCAACTGAAGAATGGCTGAACAAGTTATGGTATATGGTTGTAATGGAATATTATTGTATTATAAGAAATGACAAGCAGCGTGATTTCAGAAAAGACTAAAATGAACTCATAATGCAAAGGATATTGAGCAGAACCAGGAGGACTTTGTACACAGAAACAATATCTTATGATGAACAGCTGTGAGTGATTTAGCTATTCTCAGTAATACATTGTTCCAAGACTATTCCAAAGGACTCATGCTAGAAAAATGCTAATATTGCCTGCAGAGAATGAACTGATGGCATGTGAACACAGACTAAAGCACACCATGTTTCATTTTCTTTTGGGTGGGTTACAGTTTGAATATCCTTCCACAAAATGAGTAATATGGAAATTGTTGTTGTTACTTGTCCTTCTTTCTCTGAGACCATGATATCAGGGAGATCATGCCATGACATGCAAATGAATTGGATTTAAGTGAGGGATGGCTATGCAGAGTCACCAGCCTTACCCTCTCCTCCAGAGCCATCAGAATCTAGTACAAGATATATATCTGGGTGATGGGAGATAACTGGATGCAGTGGGAGGCAGACCTTGTCATTTACTGGCCAACAATAGGTCCCAGGCCTAGCCTCATTTGGTCATTGCTTGGATCCTGATTGGCTCAGAATGAATGTAAATAGCAATTGTTTCTGTTGTTTCTGTTTTTGACTGGGTAATAGAGACCATTCTCTGCTTCATTTCTTATCTAGGCTTAATCACTGAATGGGCATTGCCTCATTCAAACTGAGACCTGAGAAATATGGAAATGTTTTACATGGATTGCACATTTTTAACTGTAAGGTCGGGAATTCCCTTGGCTGGGGAACCCTGTACCTCCTCCATACCTGTGGGGTGTTCTTTTTGTTATCAAAGGAATAGGCCAAGAAGCTCCAGATTGATTATAGGTAGTAGTTTAATCAGTCATTAGCAGTACTAACAAAACAGGGCCAATCTTCAGTTTGGGATGGCAGCCAGACAGTTCAGCACAAAAGACCCCCCAAATCCCCATGGTAATAATAGAAAACAAAGGAAGGATGAGCTAGAGAGAGCATCACTTCTGATTGGTGCATATTTTTGGTTTTCTGCTTAGTAATGGGCTTGGGTGCTAAGCCAATGTTATGCCCAAATATAAGATTCTGTACTGATCATATACCAGTTACACATAGGTCATGATATTCTTATTATGGCTTTCATCGGTCATAGTATTTTAAGCTATGACTCTAAGTTATGATTTTTTAACAGGTCACCATGTTTGGCCTCTCACCTTTCACAGAGTTCTTTTTAAGGCTTTTCCCCAATTGGGACCCCACATCCACCCCTGAAAAGCCTCCCCTACACTCTTTCTGAATATATTCCACAAGGTCCCTGGGGTGGCTCTATACTGGGGTGTTTAGGGTCTTTTTGGGTACAGTTGGGATGGTCCCATTTGTAAGCATAAACCATACAAGTAATATAAGCACAGACAGGAAAACAACATGACCAAAGAGAAAATTACCACAATTGTTATAATTTTATTCCATCCCACCCCTGGGGAGGTGAAGGAAGAACCAATGGCATTTGGGGATTAATGGGAGATCTGAGTTTCTGAATTAGGTTCAGAGACAAATAAACCTGGCTTGGGCAGTTTTACAACATATTGGGAGTGACAGAGAACTGAATCAATTGCATAATGGGATCATAACAGCTTGATTTTCTCAGTTTCCCCTTTTTTCTCTAGGGGAGGCATGTACGGTGATGATCACCAATCCACCCCCAATGTCCATTTAATTAACAAATTTCATCTTGGTATTCAGATGTCCCATGTAGTTGTATGGTCTCTGGAACATCTTTTCTTGGGGCAATCTGGAAAATATCTTGTCCTCAGGGGCAGCTCTTCAGTGGAATTGTTTTGCTGGTTCCAAGTGACTTGTACAGATTCCTTAGATGTTCCTGCTAAAATCTTTTACAGAACAGATCTCAATACAGGTTAGTATAGCCTCTCAAATTTTACTTCTCCAATAACTGGTTCATATTGTAAAAACAAGTTGAAACCTTAAGTTCTGCTCTTAACAAGGGAGCATCAAAGTAGGAACCCAGAGTTTGTGTGAAGCTTCACAAAATTTAGGTTTTTACATGCCCCATTAGAATCATTTACATTTGACATACAGGATTATCTGATCTCGTCACATTCTCAAAAGTTTCCACTGTGATTCCAATTCATTTAGGAGGATCAGATGCTACTGAGGATTCAATCTTATACATGAAAATATAATGTTGCTTATATTTTCATGTATGGGATTGAATCTTCAATACCATTTGATTGCAGGCTTGTGCTAATTGCAGGCTTTTTGCCCGAGTTGAATAGTGACACAAACAAATTTACCTATAAGAAGCTGACTTTACTCCAATTAAAATTAAAGACTTGGGAGGATACTTAAAGAATTAATTTCAAAATAGTGCATATCAATAAATTGTTTATAATTAACTGTGCTTGTACCACATTAGTAATAACTTGAATGAAATTGTCTTTTCCATTAATGTAACACAAAAAAAGGGAGTTATATCTGTGAGAAAAGAGTTAAGTTTCCACATAAGTAGATAAGAAATCAGCACAGACAGGCTAACTTCTCTGTCCAAGCGGGGAGTGACAAAATAATTCTAGGGACAAAATGTATGTTAAGGGGTGGGGATCACATGTATATAAAATATATGAACAAGGCGTAAAAGGAAGATTATAACCCAGAAGGATTAGGACCAATCCTGATCCAGAAGGGAGGAGTTAGGCAATTACTAACTATAAAGCTTGCTCTTGCTTCTGTCCTGGGCACACTCTCCCCTTCAAAGGAGGTGTGCCCGCTTCTCCAAAGAATTGAAAGGATGCACTTCAAACTCTTTAATAAAAAGTCTTTTGAGACACCAGTCTTCTGAACTGAGTCTGGAGTCTTTTCTTAAATGGATATGTTATAAAGAATAGACTGCACTGAAATTCTCTTCCCCAAACCAAATGAAGATGTTTCTGATTTTCACCCAACAAGTTAATAAATTCAAATCCTTTTTCACAGACTTTTTTTTGTCTGTGTCTAACTATTTCCGTATTATTTAGAATTGATGAGCTATTTCAGAGACTTCATCTTTCACATGACTATGCAGGCAGGCAGATGAGAAGCCCGAGTACTAATTTACGTTGTTGTTTGGGATATGGAATGACTACACATTCAGATTGAAAGCATTAAGATCTCACATACTTATACTGTACTCATATCTTTTACTGACCACTTGCTCTGACTATAGGAATTTGATATAAAAGGAAAAAGCACAGATATGATTATAACAGCAACAAACTAGTCCTTCAGGCTTAATCCTAAGGATAAGTATATGACAGAATAAAGTATCCTTAGCTTTGTTTGATTTCAGCCAAGAGTCAGTTTAATAACCAACCATGGAGTAATAATTCTACCTCACCAGCAGATGCAGGAATAGCCAGGTGGGAAACATTCCTGTTCAAAGGAACACAATGAGGAAACTGAGGGAGGAGGATCCCACCTTAGATTGTTGCCAAGGTTGTCCTCTTGACTTTTCCCAGACACAGATCTCTACCTGGTCAAGATTATATTCCCTGAGTAGTTTGTGGCATTTCTCTCAAATGGTGGATTACTGACTGAATGATTCATCAGACAACTATACCTAAACTCAACCCTCAAAATAAAATCAGTTATAGTCCCAAGAGCTTTGATGTCAAATGGCAAGTTTCACTAATCACAGCTTAGGGCTAGACACAATTATTTCTCCCACCATGGAGTTGCAGTAAGAAACAAAAATTTACCAGAACTCATAAACATAACAGATTTCACTTAACATCTTTCACTTGTTTTCTTTTTGTCTCAAATTTAAATTTGTTCTGGTGTAACAACCAATCATCAGAAATCATTTCTATATTATATATAAGCATGCAAATCCTCAGCAAGCCAAGTTTATTGTTTAGGAACTCCATCACCCAAACAAGCTCTTTTCCCAGGGCTGATGACCTTGCTCACATAGATGATTTCAAGGAACCTGACAAGTTTACAAAACTTAGATAATTGACAGGGACCCCAGAGAAGGGGCCAAGACTGCCACATACTCTGGCAAGTCCACTATTTTCTGTCTTAATTTAATTTGTTTTTCACTGACTGAATTTCCCCTGTATCCTTCTATGGCTACCCACTTGCCAGGATGTCTTTCAGGGTTCCCATAGAGCATCATGCATTCTGCACCAGCATCTACCAGAGTTGACATAGTTTGTTTATTTTTTAGGACCCCAGTATATGGTAACTGGCACATGGGGCTTCTGATCACCTTCTATAGCCCTACATTAGAGGCAACCTTGGCCGTCTTACTAGGGAGGGGAGGAAGGGGTTTCCACTCCATCTACCCTTAGAGCTGCTGGCTGTGCTCTTTGACACCATCACCACCACTTCCAAAGGTAGAATAGACTAATGCTGCTGTAAACCCTCATATCCCAAGGAGGACTGCTCTGAATGGGCAGAACAAATCTGGATAAGGCTTTCACCTCATCCCCTCCTTTCCACACAGTAATCAATGACCAGTTTTAGGTTTTACATTAAAACAGTAACCCCAAATAAATTAGTTAACAATCTACAAACTTTACAAGTGATAGCCAAATTGTTTTAGCCATAACCTCCTCTTAACTAGAGGCAAAGATGGAAATATCCAGTTCTCCAAATGGCAGGTACAAAACAGTATAAGGCAGGGTTAGCAGGGCTGATAAAATAACATAAGTGGTTTTAAACAATTTTTCCACTTTTACTTACTTTCAGTTGTTGCTTTCATAACATCCAAATTATGAAAAGTTGCTTGACATACCTGATACAAAAAGTTGATTTGAAACATTAGTATGCATTTGAAACTTGAAAGAAACCCTACCAATCAGGTGACTTCAATCCTGTTGAATGCATTTCTAAATTACCTTATACAGAAAATCAGGCATCTCATCACCATTGGCACTGTATACTGGTCACATCTAATTAACAAACTAATAATAACAGTTACATTTATAGTGTCTGCTCTCTGCCAGGCATTGTGCACTGAGAGAAGGGAAAGGAAGAGGTAGAATGGGGTAAATTATCTGACATAAATAGGAAAGAAAGATTTTACAGTAGAGGGGAAGAGAGAGGAGGTGGCTGGGAACACTTTTACCTTACTCTCATCAGAAATGCCTCAAAGAGTGAATAACAACAACACACACACAACAGGGTCTAGAAATCTATCTTACCTACAGAAATGTAGGATGGGAAAGGCAGAGAGAAGTAGGGGAAGGGGGAGGGAGAGAAGGGAGGACAGATTGGGCAAGGTGGTTGTCAGAAGCAAAACACTTTTTAAGGAGGAACATGGTGAAAGGAGAGAGAGAATAGAATAAATGGGGGGGAGACAGGATGGAGAGAAATATAGTTAGCAATCATAACTGGTAAAAGAAATTCTTGAAGTAAAATTCCTCTGATAAAGCCTCATTTCTCAAATATATAGGGAAATGAGTCAAATTTATAGAAATAAGAGCCATCCCAGATAAAAATAAAGGTATGACATCAGTCAGTTTTCAGATGAAGTAATCAAAGCTATCTATAGCCATATGAAAAAATGCTCTAAATCACTATGGATTGGAGAAATGCAAATTAAAACAATTCCGAGGTACTATCTTACAGGTATTGGCTAATAGGATAGAAAAGGAAAATGACAAATGCTGGAGGGATGTGGGAAAAATGAGACATTAATGCACTATTGGTGGAGTTGTGAATGGCTTCAATCACTCTGTACAGCAATTTGGAACTATGCATACCCTATGACCTAGCAATACCACTATTAGGTCTGTATCCTAAAAGAAATTAAAAAAAAAAAAGGAAACAGACCTATATGTACAAAACTACAGCTTTTTTTTGTGGCAAAGAATTTGGAAATTAAAGGGATGTGCATCAACTGGGGAATGGTTGAATAAGTTATAGTATATAATTGTGATGGAATGCTATAATTTTATAAGAAATGATGATCAGGATGGTCTCAGAATATCCTAGGAAGATTTGCATGAACTAATGGAAAGTGAAGTGAGTAGAACCAAGAGAACCTGGTACACAGTAACAGCAATATTATAGAGTGATCAGCTGTGAATGACTTAGCTATTTTCAGCAATATAAAGATTCAAGACAACTCTGAAGGACTTGTGATGAAAAATGCTACCCATATTCCCAGAGAAAGAAGTGATGGTGTCTGAATAAAGATGAAAGCAAACTTTTTAACTTTATTTTTCTGAGGGTTTTTTTTTTTGGTCTGTTTTCTTTTACAACATGACTAATAAAGAAATATGTTTTGTGTGACTAAACATTTATAAGCTATATCAAATAGCTTGCCTGCTCAATGGGGGGGTGAGGGAGGAAGGGAAGGATTTGGAACTCAAAATTTTTAAAATGAATGTTAAAAATTGTTTTTACATGTAATTGGGGAAAAATAAAATACTAAATAAACACTAAATAATAATAACAACAACAACATAAGCAGACCATTCCACAGACCCTTTATGTAATATGAACTTACCCCATGGATGTGGAAAAGGGCAGAAGGGAGTTAGGAAGGGGACTGCACTCCCTGGAGGAGGGGCCAGGACATGGTTCAAGGACACGTGGGGGCTGGACACAGAGAAGCAAGAGCAGAGGAGGAACACATGGCTAGTGGCCAGCACATGAGGGCCTGGCTGGAACTGAAAGGAAGAACATGCTGGCAAGCAGACACATGAGGGCCCACATGGAAACATTCAGGAGAGGACAGGCCACATGTGGTGGGGACCAGGGACAAGCACACGTAATCTAACTTGGATGGACAAAACATCAAAACACAGAGACCAAACTCTTAAGAGGGTGGGCAGACTAAAATGAAGGTCTGCTCTCAGCACTGGAGGTCTCAAGCCAAGTCTCAATCTAGCAGTGGTGGTGGCTGTCTCTCTGCAGGTCTGTTCTTCTCCTTTCACTTGGAGGATATTTTTGCTTTTTCCTTTTGAGGGGATGGTGGTGGTAGGAGGCCACAGAGTGCCAACTTGAGGGGCAGGAGCAGAAAGAGATCCCAGTACAGCATGGTAAAGTTGACAGAGGTGTTTACTTGGAATGCAGATTTCTTATAGAATTCCTTCCATAAAGCCAATTTGCATAATGTGAATTTACATAAAGCACCATCTGTCTGTACTCCTTTCTATTCCCATTCAGTTTTCTCCAGAGGTCTTTCATATCTAAGTTTCTAAAATTCTATTACTCTTCTTAACTTCTTTCTTACATTTTTATGATTCGGTTTATCTAGCTCTCAGAGGAAAAAAGTTGGGTGCCCCACTACTATAGTTTTCCTGTCTATTTCTTCCTGTAATTATTTAATTTTTCTGTTAAGAATTTGAATCCTATGCCATTTCCCAAATACATGTTTACTTCTGATATTACTTCATTGTGTGTCATTCCTTTGAACAAGAAGTAGTTTCCCAGCTTACTCTTTTAAATATGGCTATTTTTGTTTCTGCTTTGTCTGAGATCATGATTGCTAACCCTCCATTTTTTACTTCAGTTGAAGTATAAGAGTTCTGCTCCAACCCCACTTTTCACTCTGTAGTTCTCTCTTTATTTCAAGTGTGTTTATTGTAAAATAAATAAACAAACAAACAAACATATTTCTGGATACTGGTTTCTAATCCATTTTGCTACCCAATTCCATTTTATGAATGAGTTCATCTCACTCACAGACTTAGGATTACTAACTATGCATTTTCCTCAATCCTATCTTCTTCTGTTTCTCCTTCTCTCTCTTTTTATCCTGTCTTTACTCTAATTTCTGTTTTGCATATGACAACTGTATTCTTTTATCACCCCTTTTTCTTTCTCTTTTCCCATTCTCTTACTTACCTCTAGGATAACATAGATATTTATGACCAATTGAGTAAGCATATATGGGACAGACATAAATATAGATATAGATATTTTCCCCTATTAAACCAATTTAGATGTGACTGAGGTTCAAGCATTGGCTACTCCCCTCCCACCTACCATTTCACACTCCAGGGTAAAAGCTCTTTTTTGCACACCTATTTTATGGCAGATTATTTCCCCCATTCTTTCTCTCCTTTCTGCCTTCTCCAGGGCATCCATATTTTTACCTATCCATTTATTTTCTATCATCTGAGCCTAAGGGGCTCACTCCCAAACCTTCTTTCTATGTAGAATCCATCTACCTGCTCTAATAATGATAACATTCTTAGAAGATTTGTGTATCCTCTTCCCTTATAGGCAAGTACACAATTAACCTTAAAGAGTTGCTTATGATTCCTCTTTCATATTTACCTTTTAATGCTCCTTTAGAGTCTTGTATTTCAAAGTCATATTTTCTCTTCAGCTCTGGTCTTTTCCTCTGAGTATTCTGATGGTAGATGCGTTTCCCCAGAGAGCAAGTAGGAAGTAGAATGTTCTCAGAGAGTGTGTCTTCAGCCCCAAATGTCTTGTCTTCTGAGTGTTCTGATGCTAGATGTGCTTCCACAGAGAGCAAGCCTGTAGTAACTGGAATGTTCCCAGAGAGAGTGTCTCCTGCCACAAGTATCTTTTCCTCTGAGTCTTCTCAGAGCGTGTGTTTCTCCACCTATAAGTATCTCATCCACTGAGTGTTCTGACACTAGATGTGCTTCCAGAGAGTAAGCCTGTAGTAACTGGAATGTTCTCAGAAAGACTGTCTCCTGCCACAAGTATCTTTTCCTCTGAGTCTTCTCAGAGTGTGGGTGTCTCCACCTATAAGTATTTCATCCACTGAGTATTCTGAGGCTAGATGTGCTTCCACAGAGAGTAAGCCTGTAGTAACTGGAATGTTCTCAGAGAGACTGTCTCCTGCCACAAGTATCTTTTCCTCTGAGTCTTCTCAGAGCGTGGGTGTCTCCACCTATAAGTATTTCATCCACTGAGTATTCTGAGCTAGATGTGCTTCCCCAGAGAGTAAGCCTGTAGTAACTGGAATGTTCTCAGAAAGATGTCTCCTGCCACAAGTATCTTTTCCTCTGAGTCTTCTCAGAGCGTGTGTCTCCACCTAAGTATTTCATCCACTGAGTATTCTGAGGCTAGATGTGCTTCCACAGAGAGTAAGGCTGTAGTAACTGGAATGTTCTCAGAGAGACTGTCTCCTGCACAGTATCTTTTCCTCTGCATAGTGTTTTAGTTGTGTTGACTGCTTTTGCTTCCTAAAACAAAAATTACCATTTGTCACATGGCATGGCTCTCAGGGAGGAGGAGAGGGAGACGGAGGGATATATGGGATACCATAGGTAAGATACAGAAAAAATCAATTATTTCTCTTTTAAAACGAGGTAAAGTAACTAAAGGGTATTCATGGAGAAGGAGGAAGGGAAAAGAAATGGGTTGTGGACGTGCAGAGTGATTCCTTCCACCTCTGCAGCTTCAGGATCAGGGCTTGGCTTGAGACCTCCAGCACTGAGAGAGGAGATATTTGGCTGCTCCATTAATCCACAGGTGTGGCATCCCCATGTCAGTCTTCTGTCCACCTCCGCTCGGGGTACTGTGTGTCTTCAGTCCATGTGTCACCTCTCCTTTTCTGTGTGTGGCCACATCCAGCCTCCACATGTCTGTCCTCCACTTGTTCTTCCTCTAAATTCTGGCCAGGCCATCATATGGCTGGCCCCAACACCCACCTGATTCTCTTCCTGTTCTTGTTTCTCTGTCCCTGGCCCCCAGTGTCCTTGAACTGTCTCCTGGCCCCCTCCTTTCATAGGCATGTGACCCACTTCCTCCCTTGTAACCACATCGGTGGGCAAATTCACATTATTTCAAAATTCTTCTACTTACAAGCTTGTCCAATTGTCCACTTACACAAAACTAGAATGGCTTGTAGTAGATGAAAAAAGGAAAAAAGAAAACAGATGGCATAAGTGGAAAGCAGTTTGGCAGAAATTTGATAGGAGTTCAATACCTCACACCAAGTATCAAATTAAATTATAAAGGAATACATGAGTTAGATATGATAGTTAAAATAATACAGTAATAAGTGATGAAAATTATAAATAAGAGATATAAATATGATCATTAATAATTACTCTAGCCTAGACCTACAACTCACTAATTTATTCATTCTATAGTTATTGGTGAAGCTCCTCCTATATGCTGAGCACAGAGAAAGACAGGTGGCCTAATTAAGCAATCAAGCAGCATTTCTGAAGTAACTCCTGCTTAAGAGGTACACTGCTAGCTTCTGGAGATGCAAGCACTAGTGAGGACACAGTCCAGATGAGGAATGTCCTTGACAACAACTTGTATCCATATTGACCTTGACAACACCTTGTATCCAGAGCCCCTGAACTGACCAATCATACTCCAGCCCCTACCTAATAATGGACCACAGAACCATGCAGTACCTACCACTGCTTACCCTAGAGCAACCAAAGAGCTAATTAACATGCCACCTTGTCTATCAGCCAATTCTACTCACCCTTACCCTATAAAAGAACCATTGTCATCCCAACTGGGGCTGCTCCTGCCTTTCTTAAGGAGAAAAGCCCACTGGGCGCAGTAATCCCCAATAATCTCAATACTAAAACAAAATGGTGCCTCTCATCCAATTTGTTAAAGGAAAAGTTAAATGACTTACAGAAGGAAACAGATGGTAAAACTCTTCTAAGTGATGTCCTCAAATTTACCCTCTCAGAATTATGCAAATCTATGCATAATGTAATAAAAAAGTAGTAAAGGAGAGGAAAAGAATATTAGAAAAGTTAGACATGATAGAACTCTGGATACAACCTGAAAGGAAATAGAAAGGAATGTCACTTTTTCTCAGCTGTACATGGCACCTTCACAAAAAATGAACATATATTAGGGCACAAAAATCTCATAATCAAATGGAGAAAAAATAGAAATACTAAATGGACTTTTTACAGACCACAATGTAATATAAATTACAGAGATGTGGAAGCATAGATTAAAAATTCATTGAAAAGTAAAGAATGACTGGGTCAAAGAACAAAATATTATAGATTAATCAATAATTTCATTAAAGAGAATTACAGCAATAAGGCAACATACCCAAATTGGTAGGATGCACCCCAAGCAATACTTAGGGGAAATTTCTATCTCTAAATGCTTATATCCATAAAACAGAGAAAGGGCAGGTCAAGGAACTGGGCATGAAATGTATAAAAGTAGAAAAGAACAAATGAAAAATCTCCAATAAACATCAGAATGGAAAACCCTAAATCAAAAGTGAGATTAACAATTTGTTCAAAAAATCAAATTAAAAAATAAAAGCAGTTGCTGCTTTTATCAAAATGCTAATAAAATCATTTAAACCAGAGGCAGCTAGGTGGTACAGTGGATAGAGCTCTGGCCATGGAGTCAGCAGGATCAAAATTCAAAAAGGGCCTCAGACACTTGACACTTATTAGCTGGGTGACCCTAGGCAAGTCACTTAACGCCAGCTGCCTCACTAAAAAATCGAAAACAAAAACAAAGAAAAAACAAAAACAGATAAACCATTGGGTAACTTGATTAACAAAAAGAAAGAAGAAAGCCAAAGTACCAGTCTCAAAAACAAAAATGAAGATGAATTAAGATAAAATTAAAGCAATGCTAAGGAGTTATTTTGCCCAATCACATGCCAGCAAAACTGACAATCTACATGAAATGGATGAATAATTACAAAAACACAAACTTCCCATATTAACAGAAAAGGAAATAGAATACATAAATAACTCCATCTTAAAGGAAAATATTGAACAAGGCATACAGGAGTTTCCTAGGAAAAAATTCCCAGGAGTAGATCAACTGTGAAAGTGAATTCTACTAAATATTTAAAAAACATTTCATCCCAATACTATACAAAGTACTTGAAACAACTGATAAAGATGGAATCCTATGAAATTCCTTTTATGGCACAAACATGCTTTTGATACCTAAACAAGAGTGTAGGGATATACACAAACTAATACCTTATTGGAGGAGCTGTAAAATGACACATCCTTTTTCGAAAGTAATTTGGAATTCTGCAAAGAAAATGTCCAAAGCCTGTAAAACAAAGACTCCATTACACCCCAACAAAGCCATTAGTACGAAAAATGTCCCCCTATATTCCAAAATACTTATAATAATACTTTCTGTGACAACTATGATTTGAAAAACAAAGTAGATGCTCATCAACTGGGGAATGGCTAAACAAGATATGGAACAAGACAAGGACATGAAAGGCATGACATACTGTTCCCATGCAAGAAGAAATGATGTGTGATGAGTACAGAGAAATATGGAAAAGCCTCTGTGAACTGATGCAAAGTGAATTAAGTAGAGTCAAAAAAAATAGTATATATACTCGGTAACTACAGCAATTGAAGTGGAAAGATTGACAGCAAAAATTTAAAAGTGCCTCTAACAAAATATTAAAGATGAAGTGGGACCGAAAAGGAAATGTGAGAAGACACCATCACCCTACCCCATCCAGTAGGTGACAGGTCCACAGGTGTTACACATTGCACATCTTTTCCCAAATTCATCAATCACTTGCACTCATTTTTCTTTCCCTCCCTACAACAGGCAATATGATTTGTTCCATGGCATGTCCTTTGAGGATAGGGAGAGGGAGGAATACATGGGACACCTTGGCAACCTAAGAAACAGATAACATTAAAAAATTTTTAAAAATAGGTCATAGGTCTTAAGCAAAATAAAGGTGGGGTGGAAGGAGGAAAGAAAGGGGTTTGGGTTAGTGATTATACATAGCAGATCCAAACCATATTACAAATCTGTGATTATGAAAACAACTATTGTTGTTGTTTGGTCCTGTCTGACTTTTCCTAACTTCATTTGGGCTTTTCTTGGCAAAGATGCTAAAGTGGTTTGCCATTTCCTTCTGTGGCTCATTTGACAGATTGAGAAACTGAGGGGAACGGCGTGAAGTGACTTGCCCAGGGTAACACAGCTAGTAAGTGTCTGAGACCATATTTCAACTCACGGAGATGATTCCTCTGGACTCCAGGCCCAGCAGAATACCCACCTACCAAGAAAACAATTTCAACTTTTTAAAAATTGAAAAGTTGATCAGCAGAAAAGATCAGGTATGCAATGTACAAAAGCCAACAAATAAAACAAAATAGCGTTTAATAAATTCAAAGACAGTAGTTGTGGTGGGGGAGGGACACATTATATGGTGAAAACAAAAGATGGCATAAGTGAAAACCAGTTTGTCAGAAATTTGATAGGTCATCAACATCTCTCACCACCTATCAAATTAAACTACAAATGAATACATAAATTAGGTAAAAAAGGGAATCAATAGCAAATTAGAGGAGCCAGGAGGAAATTACTTTTCACACTGATGGATAGGGCAAGAGGTTATGAAGGAACAAAGGATAAGAGAGAATCACCAAAAATAAAATGGATGATTCTGTTTCTAAAAAGTTGGAATGCTTTTGAACAAACAGATGAAACGTATTTAAAATAAGAAGGGTAACAGTTAAGTGAGGAAAAACATCCTTGCAGTAAAGATTTCTAAGGACTGTTTCATATGCAAGATATAGAAGGAACTCATTGCAATTTCTACCATTAAGAGCCATTCTCTAATAAGTCAAAGGACAGGGATGTTTTCAAAGGTAAAAATCCAAGCTATCAAAGGCCCTAGGACAAAATGCTCCAAATCCCTTATAATGAGAGAAATGTACACTAAAACAACTCTCTTCTTTCAGTCTGTAAATTGTAGCGATCTGCAGGTTCAGACACAGTCCCCTCTTTCTGTCTCATTTGCCAGATGCTAGTGGAAACAAGAACAAAAAATCAATATACCATTAAAATAAAGGACACCAAACAAAAGAGGTGACAAGGAGAAGTGGAGGGGAAGAGTTCCTAGACTGTGTCCTCTCTCCCCAGCCTCAAGGCCAAGCCAAGGATGGGAGGAAGGGAGGAAGAAAGGATGGAAACATCTACCTGAGGGGGAGAGGGAGGGAGTTTCTTCAAAGGCTTCTCCCTGCTGGCCTCCACCCCACTTCATCTCCCCACCCGAAGCCCAGACCTCCAGACAAAGGCCTGGGCAGGCAGGAAGCCCCAGGTAGAAGTAGCCCTGGAGGAGCAGGCACACAAGAGCACCCCCCCCATATACACACATTGCCACACCCACACAGGCACACTTTCCCTGCCCCAACATCCATCCCCTCCTCTCCCTCTTTCTCTCTCTCTCTGTCTCTCTCTGTCTCTCTGTCTGTCTCTCTGTCTGTCTGTCTGTCTGTCTCTCTCTCTCTCTCTCTCTCTCTCTCTCTCTCTCTCACACACACACACACACACACACACAGGCAGATTATCCTACCTATATACATAACACAGGCATAAACAAAAGTATTGATACTCTCAGGATCTTTCACCCACCTTTACACACACCCTCCCGAGCACTAATCGGGGAGCATGGAGGGTTGGCTTCATGAAAAGTTTGGTGGGTGGGGAAGAGAAGGGAAGGGAAGGAGATGAAAGGGAGGGGCTGAGGCAGGAGCAGAGGAGGGGGCACTTACTTCACTCACAGGCACTTAGGCACTAGTAGGACCCTCAGGATTCCTCAGTGTAGAAGAAGGGGGGAAGATGGGGATGGGAGAGCTATGGAGGGAAAAGGGAAGGGAAGTGAGTAAGGGGCAAGCAGACCTCCAGCTGCCCATCCTACTCATATCCTCCTCCAGAGACAAAGAAACTCACACTTAATAGAAGGTACCAACCCCCCTTCCCCCCACCTTTGACCCTGTGATGTCACTGCAGAGCTGGGCTAGACTCCTACAGAGCAAAGAGGGAAGGGAGGAGGGAGGGGAAGCGGTTTCTGGTATCAGGTCCAGAGCAGTGGGGGACCCCCTAGTCATTTCCCTCTGCCCCCATCACCCAGACTGGCTAAGAGAGGGGTCCGCAGGTGCATCTTTCATCTGGAAGTGGCCCTTGTGCTGACCAGGGTCCCAGGTTCACAAGGGCAGGCTGTTGGGGCTAGGGATGGGGGCAGCAGCTGAGCTCAGCTTGTAGTTCTTGAGGGTCGGCCTCTTTACAGAAACTGGGAGGGAGAGGACAAAGAGGGGATGGGGGAGGTGGAGGGAGGGGTATCCTGGGCTCCACAAAAGGGAGGAGCACAGTAGCTGCAGCAGCATCTGCAAACCAGTAGTGAATGGGACTTGGATTCCTCACAACCCCCACTCCCCAGCAGAGGAAGAAAGGCTGGTCTGGGGAAGGGGCGGGGCTCAGCCTCCTTTCTCCAGCCAAGAGGAGACAAAGAGGTGGGGAGAGGGGAGAGGAGAGGGGGGCACCAAGGGAGGCAGCGTGTCTGCCCCGGCTGTGCATGTGTGGGTACCCTGGTCGAAATCCTATATAATATAAACCTTCCAGAGCCTGGACAAGAGGGAGCCACACCCTCTTTTCTGGCTCAGTGTCCTCTACAAACGAGAGACAAAATGCTCCAAATCCCCCATAATGAGAGAAGTGCACATTAAAACAACTCTTTTCTTTCAGGCTGTAAATCATAGAGATCGGCAGGTTCAGGGACAATCCCCTCTTTCTGTTCCACAACAAGGTACGTGGAAACGCTCCATTCACCAGGCCCTCGTGGAAACCAGAACAAAAAATCAATATACCATTAAAGTAAAGGACACCAAACAAAAGAGGTGACCAGGAGAAGGGGAGGGGAAGAGTTCCTAGACTGTGTCCTCTCTCCCTAGCCTCCAGGCCAAGCCGAAGATGGGAGGAAAAAAGGATGGAAAAATCCACCTGAGGAGGGGAGGGAGGGAGTTTCTTCAAAGACTTCTCCCTGCTGGCCTCCACCCCACTTCATCTCACCCCCACCCCCCAAGCCCCAGACCTCCAGACAAAGGCTTGGGCAGGCAGGAAGCCCCAGGCAGAAGCAACCCTGGAGGAGCAGGCACACAAGAGTTCACACACACTCACACATACACAAGTACACACACTCACATAGACATTCACCCCCCCCACACACACACACAGACGATCCTACCTACAGACACAACACAGGCACAAACACAGGTATCCATACTCCCAGGACCTTCCACCCGCCCTTACAAACAACTTCCTGATCATTAAGCGAAGCAAATTGGGGAGGGGGGACCTCGGCTTCATGAAAAGTTTGTGGGGGAGGGAAAAGAAGGAGAAGAAAGAAGGGAGGGGCTGAGGCAGGAGCAGAGAGGGGGCACTCACCTCACTCACAGACACTGAGGCACTAGCAGGACCCTCCGGATCCGTCAGTCTGGAAGATGGGGGTAACGGAGGGGAGGGGTGTGAAGGGGAGGAAAGTGGGGGGGCACTCGGACCTCCAGCTGCTCACCCCATTCACATCCTCCTCCAGACAAAGAGTTCCAAGTAATAGAGGGTGAGGGGGGTGGGCACAGTGATGTCACTGTAGGGCAGGGCCAGTCTCCCAGAGCAGAAGGCTCTGAGACATCAGGCTCAGAGCAGTGGGGAGCCCCACCCGCAGTCATTTCTTTCTGCCCCCATCACCCAAACAGGCTAGAGAAGGGGGGCGCAGGTACATCTTCCATGTGGAGGTGGCCCGGGGCTGACCAGGGTCCCAGGTTCCCGAGGGCAGGCTGCTGGGGCTGGGGTGGGAGGCAGCAGCTGAGCTCAGCTTGGGGTTGTCGGCCCCTTTATGCAAACTGGGAAGGGGAGGACAAAGAGGGACGGGGAGGTGAGGGCAGGACTCTCCTGGGCTCCACAAAAGAGAGGAGCACAGTAGCTGCAGCAGCATCTGCAAACCAGTAGTGAATGGGACTTGGATTCCTCACAACCCCCCCTCCCCAGCAGAGGAAGAAAGGCTGGTCTGGGGAAGGGGCGGGTCTCAGCCTCCTTTCTCCATGCAGGAAGGGACAAAGGTCAAGTTGGGCGGGGAGGAACAGGAGGACACCAAGGGGCCAGCTTGTCTGCCCCCGTTGTTCATATGGGCGTACCCTGGTCTAAATCCTGTGTAATATAAACCTTCCAGAGCCTAGACAAGAGAGAGCCACACCCTCCTTTCTGGCCCAGTGTCCTGTACCAAGGGACTTCATACATTTCTTTCTAAAACTCTTTCAGATTTGAGGTTTTATTCTCTCCAACACCAGCCGACCTCCCATTAGTGAATTGGCATAGCAGAGAGACACCTGAAATTGGAGGCGCAAGACCTAGACTGAAAGTCTGCCTTACCTATTGTATGGCCATAGGCAAGCCACTTAGAGTCTCTAAACCTCAGTTTTCATATCTGTAAAATGGGGGTGATAATAATACCTAGACTAAGTAAGTTACAAGGTGGTTGTAAGGTTTAGAGGAGATGTTTTGCAAATGGCTTTTCAAACCATTAAGTACTATAGAAATGTTTCTTCTTCTTCTTATCATTATTCATCTCTGTTAGTTTTTTGATGCAGTTTACATATCATGCCATTGATTCTTTTCTGTTTAACATTCTTCAAATCATTGCACAAAATTACTGTCTTTTGCAACTCAATAAAAGTATTGGGATATTAACTCCTCTGCTGCAGGCTCCAGGAATACATCTTTAGGACAATTCTAGGAGGAGACAGGACTGTGGGGATCATGATCATCATGCTGTTCCCACAAGGTTTTCAGTTCTTCCCCTAGGTCTCTATATGTTGCAAGCTTTTCATCCATGCAGCTTAGAGATTAGGAACACTTGCTATTGTAATGCAGAACATTATTTTGCCATTTAGGTAGTAGGGCCCTTTAAGCCATGGAAAGCAAAAGTTGGTGCTTAATCTTGCCCCAGACCTCTTTCCTCCTAAATCTAAACAATAGTGAAATGTACTCTTGCATAGCTCAGCATAGCCCGTACCTCCAACGCAAATGGATAAGACAGCTTGAAATATAATTGCTTTAGATAATTATGTTTATACCAGAGACCAGGACACCTGGTCTGGTTTGTGTGATCTCTGATCCGTAATAATGGGGTGCTTGGGTGCTTGTGCTTGTACTTGTGCCCCAATTTCTCCCTAGTCTCAGAAACACTGTCTCTAACAACCATTCCCCAGCCCAAGGACAGTGTGCCTAGCAGTTATTCATGCATGGGCCTCAGCATGACCCTTATCTCTCTCCCTGGTACAGCCACACAAAGCTGGGCTGCTCAGGCCCCAGCCCTCAGATCATGTCTCTGGCAGCCTCCCAGTTCCTTGGTAAGTTCCTGTGTTGTGAGAAATCTTTCCCTTGTTGCAGAGCATTCTTTCATCAAGACAGAGGGAGAGGGGTGTCCTTGGCCGGCCCAAGGACTCTTCCTCCTGCCAGACTCCAAAGATCCATCCTCCTCCCTGTCTGGTATACTTCCTGTACTTTCCCATACATAGCTCCCAAAGACACCTGCGCCTTTGGATTACCTCATCAGTGTTCCTGGCATTTCTTTCCCATGCTGTTTTCCATATAAACCCTAGCTGGACCCCTGATCGGGGCTGCTTGATTTGGGTGTGCATACCGCTGGCAGCCACATGCTAATAAATCCACATTTTAAATTACATCTGGGTCTCGCTTGCTGATTTCTTGGTACAACACTATGCTATTAAAAACATCGTTCTTGATTTTTAACACTAAATGAAGTGTTCCATCTTTGTGTTCCACAAGCATTCCAGTCTGTTTTAAACTTATGTGATATGGACTTTGAGAACATCCTTCTATCCTCTCCCTCCTTTTTAATGAGAATGTGTTGATCCCTGTGCTTCTTCATTATCTAGAATTTTGTTAGCATCCTTGGAAAGTGTCTGTTTTTGTCCATTGTTTCAGAACTAGGAGAGGGCATTTCTACACTAGAACCTATCTAAGAGGGTGGCTACTTTAAGAAGGCCATCTTCTGGAAGGGGGACTGGGAAGCAGGAAATGCTGTCCCTAATTTGGCAGGCAGAGAGTTCTATGGGATGGGTGGATGAGTCTGAGAGCTCCAGGCATGACTCTAGCGGAGGAGGTTTTGGGGCTACTGTGGTTATTTCCATAAGTGATGTATGGAGCTCTAGCCAAGGTAGGTTTCCCCATGGAAAAGCTCTCTAAGCATACTCAGAAGTCACCCAAGACTTTTGTTTCACCCAGATACACTTCCTTTAGAAACAGAGAGAAGGGATGCTCACCAAAATACAAAGATTTGCTGAAGGTCTTTAGCCAGGAGCTCCCTCCTGTTTTTGTTGCCCCATAAGCTAACTACTGGGGACTTACCCTCCATTAAGAAGGCGTTCAGTTGGTTTCCTTTAATGGCATCAAGAAAACATTTCTCAGTTAGGGGTTAAGTTACTGCTGTCACAATGGATACCCAAAGGTCAGAGTAAACATACATAATATCAGAGAGGTCTGAATAAGATATTCTGGAAGGCAAAAGAGCTTGGATTTCAACCAAGAATAAACTACCCAGTAAAACTGAATATAATCTTTCAGGGGACATTCAGTGAAGTAGGGGACATTCCAACATTCCTCTTGAAAAGACCAGAGCTAAGGAGAAAAACCAATTTCCAAATATAAGAATCAAGAAAGGCATAAAAATGAAAGCAAGAATGCAAGTTATTCAATATAGTTAAACAGTTTACATCCCTACAGGGGACATGACACTTATAACTCTTAAGAATTGTATCTTTAGGGGCAGCTAGGTGGCAGGATGGATACAGCATGGCCACTAGAAGGAGTATACATAGAGAGTGTGGGTATAAATGAACTTTGTTGGGATGATATAAAAACATTAAGGAGTGAGAAGAAGGGTTGCACTGGGAGAAGAGGGAAGGGAGAGGAAGAATGGAATAAATTATATCACTTCAAAGGTGTAGAAAACCTATTACAATGGTGGGAAAGAAAGGAGAGGGGTGAGCATTGCTTGAACCTTACTCTCAATGGATTTCACTCAAAGAGGGAATAACACACATTCAGTTGGATATAGAAATCTATCTGATGCAGGATGGATGTATAGCCAATGAAGATGAAATTAAAGCAATGCTTAGGAGTTATCATGACCAATCATATGCCAGAAAAACTGACAATCTATGTGACATGGAAGAATGCTTACAAAAATATTAACCCATGTTAACAGAAGAGGGAATAGAATTCTTAAATAACCCTACCTTAAAAGAAGAAATTGAACTAGGTATAAATGAGCTCCCTAGGAAAAAATCCCCAGGACCAGATGAATTTGAAAGTAAATTGTATTAAACATTTAAAAATATTTCATCCCAGTACCATATAAACTATTTCAAACAACAGGTAATAGAAGGAGTCCTATCAAATTCTTTTATGGCACAAATATGTTTTTGATACCTGAACAAGGGTTATACACAAACTAATACCATATTGGTGGAGCTGTGAAATGACACATCCATTTTGGAAAGTTATTTGGAATTATGTAAAGAAAGTTAACGAAAAGGTCCACAAAGCCTATAAAATAAGCACTCCATTACAGCCCAAGAGAGTCATCAATAAGGAAAAAAGTCCCCATACATGCAAAAATTCTCATAACACCACTCTTTCCAACAGCTATGAATTGGAAACAAAGTAGATGCTTATCCCCTGGGGAACTGCTAAACAAGGTGTGGAACATGAATGACCTGGAATACTACTACCAGGCTGTAAGAAATGATGTGTGTCATGAGTACAGTGAAGTATGGAAAGATCTTTGTGAAGTGATGCAAAGTGAATTAAGCAGAGCCAAGAAAACAGAATATATACATGGTAACTACAACAACTGAAGTGGAAAGAATGAGACACAAAAATTTAAACTTACCTGTAACAAAATGTTAAAGTTCAAGTGGGACCGACAAGGAGACTTGAGAAGACACCATGAACCTACCCCATCTGCATACCTTTTCCTGAATGCATCAATCAGTTGTGCTCACTTTTCTTTTCCTCCCTAAAACAAAAGAAAATACTGTATGTCACATGACATAGCTCTTGAGGATGGGGAAAGAGAGGGATACATGGGACACCCTGGTGATGTAAGAAACAGTAAACATCAATAAAAAAAAGTCTAAAAAGAGGTCAAGCACATCAAGGGTAATAATGGAGGCAGGGAAGGAGGAAAGACAGCGGCGGTTCCAAACTATACTACAAATCAGTGATTGTGAGAACATTTACTGTTGTTTAGTCCTGTCTGACTTTTCCTGACCCCATTTGGGCTTTTCTTCACAGAGATATTGAGGTGGTTTACCATTTCCTTTTGAAGCTCATTTCACAGATGAGGAACTGAGGGAAACAAAGTAAAGTGACTTGCCCAGAGTCACGCAGCTGCTAAGTGTCTGAAGCCAGATTTGAACTCAAGGAGATGCTTCTTCCTGACTTCAGGCCCAGTGGGACACCTAGCTGCCTGGAAAACAACAGGAACTTGTTAAAATGTGGGAGGTTGATCAGTGGGAAAGATTAGTTATGCAATGTACAGAGGCAAACAAATAAAATAACTTAGTGTTTTATAAATTC